TGCTCCGCCGAGATCCCGTTCTTGGCCTGCCTCAATCCCCCGCTAAATGGATCTCTTTAGGCCCCTCCTGTAGGAATGAAACCAGTGAAGTTCGCTTGGTTTTGTGGCTACCAGCTCAGAATTTGCTCTCCTCTGGTGCAGGTTCGAGAAAGCCCTTCCAGAAGTTGGGTGTGGCTGTGGGGCTGCCCCAGCCCTTGCGGGCAGCACACCCCCCACCCCCTAATCTTGAAAGCTCCGTCCAGGGACTGTGCCTGAACTACTCAGGAGGGGAGCCCCGAGGCTCTTGGTTTGTGTTTAGTTCAGAAAGAAATTCCATAGTTGACATCTCGAAGGGGGATGCTCAGATGGCCAGTCATTTTGCATGGCCGCATTTAAAAAAAAAAATGCAATTAAAAAAGCAATACAGGCAATAGAGACATGCATAAAAGTAGAAGAAAAATCTCCCAGAGTCTATTCACCCAGAACAACTGATGGTTTTCTTGAGGGGGCTTTTGAGGGTAATTTTGGGCTATTACCTTCTGGTTCTTTTTCATTGGCTCTAATCATGGAAAGTATTGGTAAGGAACAGTGTCTACCCTCTCATCCGCATACCACAAACCCCCAGAGCCAAACACATACACGCACTGCCTTGAAGCCCAGCAGCCTACCGGGAAGTAAGCTTTATCCTTGGCCTTTTGCAAGAGGCGCTGACTTCTATTTGTCTTTTAATATCTACAATTTGACAAACTCCTCTATGCAAAGGTTGAGGCTGCACCCAGAAACTCAGGTTTCCGGGAAGAGGGGCGTTCCTGATATTGGTGCCCTGGGTGGGAGAGGCCCAGAAGTACATGGGCACCCCTGGTGTACGGCTCCCCATTTCCCAACCCCAGAATCACGACATCCGGCAGAGACCCCCAAGCAACCAAATCACAGGGAGTGTGGGTATGAATTGTTTGGCTAATAAATAAATAAATAAAAAGCCAGCCCCTTGTCCAAGCCCTTAAATGGGAAAGACGTTAGCCTTCATTTTGAGGGCAGACTCAAGATCCTGAGAGAAGCGCCTGACTGGGTCAGTCAGTAGAGCACGCGATTCTCGATCTCAGGGCTGTGGGTTCAAGTCCCACGTTGGGTACAGAACCTACTTTAACCTTCCTGAGGGGTTGTTAGCATCAGAGCAAGGGGTTGGTGTGCATTCTAGAAGAGCCACCGTCAATTGCAAGACCCTGTAAGATGGGACCATTATTTAATCATTTCCCCCAAATCCTGACTGCTTGAGGTCCAATCTCTCACCTTCTAGGAGGCAGAGAGGTTGTTCCTGACAATGCCCAGGTGTCTGTACCCCCAAATAACTTCATGGGAAGGTCCTCTGAATTCCAGGCTGCTTCTCTGACTTTGGCTCAGGTCTGGGGGCGGGGGGGGATGGTACGGAGTTCAGAGATGTGTGATTTTGGCGCGTTGAAATTGCCAGAGGCTGGCTTTGTATACTAGCGATTAGGAACGCCCAGCCTCACTGTAGCCACTTGTGGGAAGTGTGGAAGGGGCCTCAAGAGATTTCTGGGGAACACTACCATTTTCGGGGTACCCGGAAGACTGGGAAAATCTGCTTAGAAAGGTAGCCACTCAGGGGATGCTATTTTGTAAAAGCTCACAGTGTGGTTTTTGAGACGAGAGTGCGTTTACCACGGCTGGGAGATACAGGAGGACCTTGTCTCCATTTCCTGGCCAAATCTTAGGACATTTGTACACTTGCCCACAAGTATGTACATGTGGGTAGGAGGCTGCTCACACAGCTTTTGAGGGCTCCCAAGTATGAATTAAAAAAAGAAGAAAAATGTGTGCTTTGAATTAGATCTATGTGAAAAAAAAAAAAAAAAAGGCAACAGGGCTAAACCATGTGTCTGGGACACTGGCTCTCCTCCAGGGCCCTTCCAAGAGAGCTGGGTTTCAGCATGTACAGAAAGAAAACGAGTCATTTCTCAAGCCTGGATTTCCTTGTCTGTTTGGCCCTATTGATATCAATCTGAGCCCTTAAATGTCCTTTTTTGAGCAAGGAAAGCATTCACAACATCACTCAGATTGAGAAACAGTTTGGATCCAAATATTACCATAGATTTGGCTCTTTAAGTTATTTCTTCCATTGCTTTGGACCAATAAATATTTAAAAAGTTAGGTTCTGAGCTCCAGAAAAGCCAACAAAAACATTTAAACATATGGATATCTTTTTTTATTGTGGTTAAAACCATACTCAGTAGAGATGAGTTTACAGCAGTGTTTTCTTTCTCTCTCTGCCTTTTTTTTTCTATCATTTTCTTTCTTTCTTTCTTTCTTTTAGGAAGCCAGGAGGATAAACATGTTGCCATGGTGTTCTGTTTAAAATAAAATACAATGGAAAGAAAAGCAGAATGATGAAGTAGCCACATGGACTGCAGGATACACCTGATACTAATTACTGTCATGCAGAATGTTCTGGAAGGCATTTGACTCGCCTGATGTATACATTCAAATCAAGCAAAGCAGGACTGGAAGGCTCCTTGGGGACCATCTTGTCCAACTCTTTCCTTTTTCCAGATGAGGAAATAGGGGCCCAGGGAGAGGCCTGGACCTCAGCCTCCCAGTTAGGAGGGAGCAAAGCGGGGATTCAACCCCCCCCCCCCCCCCCCCCCCCCCCGCGCACTTTTGTCGGAAACACATAATTTCCAGGGTCCTTTACCTTGGCCTGTCAGTGAGACCCTGAAAAAGAGGAGTGGGCTTTACTGTTAAATTCTTGAGCACGGGGCTTTGGGGCTTTGGAGCCAGGGAGCCCCCCCCCCAAAAAAAAAGAAAGAAAAAAAAAGAAAGAAAAAGAAAAAAGAGAAGAAAAAAAAAAAAAACGAAAAAGAAAAAAACAGAGAGGCTGATTGTGCTAGGAGGCCCAACTTTCCTCCTGGGCACCAGGCCCTGAGAAGAGATGCGCATGGACGTCTGGAGTTTCTCCTTCCTGGGCCTCCCGGGGGCACCCAACCCAGGCCGGGGGCTCCTCCCAGAGCATCAGCTCCTTCCTTTTGGGGCTGCAAGGCTGACGCCAGGAGGCACTGTCTCTAGGGCGGCCTCCAGGGGCCCTGAATGCGTGGCTACTGACGCTCTCTGGTGGCCGCCTGGGCTCCCACGCAGGCCTCCCACGCGTGGAGGGCGAGCGGGAGCCCCCGTGACAATGCGCACCCCTTTGCCTCTGCCCCCGAGAGGCTAGCAACCGGGCCTGCCGGCGTCTGATTGGCTGCGCAGGCCTGACGACAGGGGCTCCTGGACGCTGATTGGTCCCGGGCCGCTCCGGCTGTTTCCTAGCTATTAATACTGAGGCTAATAAGCGTTCTCCTGTTGACAAGGATGCTCGGAGCCATGATTTTTTGAAGCTTTCTTGACGTCTGCGGCTGGTGCAGGCCTTTCTGTCTCGCGAGTTTTGATGGGGGACGCTAGTCTCTGGGACTCCTGGCGTGCTCCGCAGGCTGTAAATTGGGTGTTCTACCCCCCCAACATTATCTGACACTTTAGGGTTGGCACCCCGCTATGCCCCTAAAGCGCGCTCTGTCTTCGTCTCCCCAGCGGCGCAACCGCTCACCTATAAACGAGCCCCCCACCCAAGGCTCGGGGTCTTTCGTGACCTGGTGGTCACTTCCACCTCCCTTACGCAGAGCTCCGTCCCTTCTTTTCAGCCCCGGAGTCTCCTGTGTGTGTGAAAGCCACCGCGCAGGATCGCTGGGCACGGCGGGGGGCGGAGGGGGGTCGCTCTGAAGCTGCTCTGAGCCCCCCCCCCACCCCCCGCCAAGTAGTGCGGGACGGAGCTGTTCTAACTTGATAGTCCCCGCAGGCCCCTCTGCCTTTCCCCTTCGGGACCCATCGCTCATTCTCACCCCTCTTCTGTCACTAGGCGCTTCATCCTTGCCCTCCCGGCTGCCACCCACCTGTCACCCTAAGATAGATCCCCAGTCCCTTTCAACAGCATTTTGACCTTTTCGAGAGGACATTTGATTGACGGCCCTGCCCGCTTTGCCACTCGGTGCCCGGCAGAGCTGCTGAAGGCACCACCTGTTACGGATTAAATCTCATGTGCCAAGTCCCGGAGCACGAGGCCGTGCAGCTATGCTCGGCCGCAACATGTGTCGCTGCCTGTTTCCCCGGGGCGGCACAGGGAGGGGGGCTGGCTTTTCAAAGTGTCCGTGCGGGGGAAATCACCTCGATTTTGGGGGGTATCCCACGCGTCTCCACGTGGGACACGATCTTCCTCGAAAAGTACTTTCCCTAGAGGGACACGGTTCATGTCTGAATTATTATTACGACCCCGGTTTGAGGGGGGTACCCCCTTGTTAACATCTAGGAAACGGACCCCCTGACAGAGGAAGGGACATTGCCAGGTTCTCGTGCACAGGTTGTAAGCGGCAAAGCCCGGGACTCAAAACCCGTTTTTTTTTTTTTTTTTCCCTCCCTGACTCGGAGATGCAAGGCTGTGCCGAGTCTTCCATGTCAAAGATAACCAATCAGAAATGGACGGGTGGGCTAAAAGGGGGTGACAGCCACCACTTACATGTGGGTACTGGTTCTCTTGCTCGGGGCGTTTTATTTTCCGGGACAATAAGCAGAAAGCATCATTTTCCTTTCCCTAAGACGCATCCTCTGGTAGAGGTTCCGAAACAGTCAGGTGTGTGATGTGCCGCCCCCAGCGCCCCAGCTTTACCCTCGGCCCGCCTGAGGAAAACCATCCCTTGTCCCGTTCTCCCAGCAAATTGTGCAGCCAGATCGCCGTGCTCGGCGAGCGGGGCTCGGGTAGGGCAAAAAGCACCAGCGAACACAGGGTGTTGGTCATGGCGGCGAGGGGCACTGCGGCAGATTTTTTTTCCTCCCTTCTTTGCTGCAATCTGGGTGCGGCTAGAGCAATTTGTCATAGAATCTGGGGGGCTCATTTTTCCGGCCAATCACTTTTGGAGAAATGAGCGCATTGCAGCAGAATGCGCTGACGTCAGAGACCACCCCTTCTGCGCTTCCATATAAACCCCACCCAGCCAGCCCCTAGCGCAGACGGCGGAGAGCGGAGATGGAGCGCGCCTTGGCCCGCTGGCCTCGGCTGCAGCTCCTCGGGAGAATCGGGGCGCCCACGCGAGAATCTCCCCACCTGGTGAGTGGTTGGCCATCCTTGCCTGGAAGGATGTGCAAATCGAAGACGACACCCCTTCGAGGTTGGGCTCTGTCCTCCTGGACACGCCAATGACAGACGCCGGGGACCTTCTCTCGAAGGCGGCCACCTCGCCTGGTCCCCGAGTGTCGGCGATGAAAATTCTGTCAGGCAGAAAGATCTCGAGGCACATTTTCCTGGGGGGGGAAATCAGGGCCCTTTTCTCGTGCAGACCCTCAGCTTGAGGGTCGGCTGGGTGGTAGGGGTTTAGATGAAGCCCGAATCCGATCAGATCCCCGTTAGAATCCAGTGTACCGCAGTCACCGGGGTCCAAAACCCCGATTTTCTGTGCTCGAAGGCACCTTTAGAATCCCGGTGGGTGGGAGCTATGGCGGCGGGTGCATTATGCATGCCCCCGAGTCGGGGGGGGGGGGAAGAGCACCTAAAAAGAAGAGTCTCCCAGGTAGATGCCCCCCCAATTTTTGGCCAGGTTCTTGGTGGCCCATAGGCGTGAGGGGTGTAGGTTCCCGTCCGCAAGGGATTGCGAATCCAAATACCCAGGTTTCGTGCAGAGCAGACAGTCAAAATTTAGAGTAAAATTGCTAACTGTTAATCATCTGGTTCCCCCGATCAGTCACTTTATTAGTGGAAAGATATGGCGCCCAAGTGCAGACCCATCAGAAGCCCCCTAGGACCAGTTCCGTAGAGAAGGGCCGCTGGGGGGAAGGTCAAGTCACTGGGGGCACTGGCAGAATAGCAGGGTGGTGGGTTGGGATGCAGAGAAGGCCGTGTTCTTGGGTCTGGGGGAGGCTAATCTAGAGGGAAGAGAGAAATACAGAAAAGGGGGCGTGTTGGGGTTGTCAAGGCGCTGGGAGTTGGGAAATGGGGGCCGGGGGTCTTTCTAGCATTGCATGATGGTCGTTACAAGATTCTGACATGTTGCGGGAATTTGAGTTTTGATAAAGTCGTCTTTTGCCGTTTCCTTTGTCCCTGTCAAGCCCCCCCACGCCGCCCCCTCCCCACTCTGGGCCGGCGGCCTCGGGCGGGGGGGGGCGCGAGCGGGTTGCTACGTGGCAGGTTTCTGGAAGGTTCTCTTGCTGGCCGCCAGAGGGCGCTGGTGGCACTGCGGAATTTTGGGGGGCGGGGTGGCGAGGGGAGGTGGCCTTTGTTCTTCTGCTGGAGGGGGTCGAGCGCGGGATTTACTGGAGAATTCTGGATTCGTTTACCTGAGGGGGAAATGTTTTAAGATCCCGGGGTTCCCTGGGCAGCCGCTGGAGCGTTGGCGCCGGGTGGAGATGGCGTGATTCGCGCGGGCTGTGTGACTTAGGGGGTCGTGGATGAGCGTGGACGCAGATTAGTTGATTTTAGCGGGCTTTGGTTTTGGGGGTCTTAACAAGAGGATGTGGCGCATTTGAGCAAGATGAAGGGGTCGACAGGTTGTGGAGTAGGTGTCGCGCGGTCTTGAGGTTCTTGCTGTGGCGAGCTGAGATCACGGGGCGGGGGGGTCGGTGGTGCTCTGGACGATTTTAGGTGGGTTTGGCTGCCTGCGTATTATTTTTTAGCGATAGTATTTTGTATCGTGTGTCCAGAAAGCCCCGCGAATGAGTGGAAACGGTGTGTCGAGAACTGGGTCTTTATAATTTTAATTAATTTATGTTTAATTGGACTTACCGAAGGTCAGAGCCAAGATTTCTGTGTTTTCACTTAATACAAGTGGAATCGTGTTCTGGAAAGATCCTTGGCGAGTGCCTTCTCGGTAGCCTTACGTGTCTCTGATGCAGGGTGACCCCCCTCACAGTTGGGGGTGCCGAAGGTCCCCTGGACGTGTGTTGTGGGGGCGCTGATCGATGTCCACAGGTGGATTCTGGCATGCTATGGCGGGTGTAGTGTTTCGAGGACATAGTGGCCCTGCGCGATGTGCTGGTGTGGGCTGGGGCCTCCCCCCACCCCAGCCCCAGACCTGTTGGGCGCCCCCCCCCCCCGTTCTATGCCAGCTGTGCCCCTGGCAGCTGTGGGCCAGGCGCTGCGGGGGCGCGGGAGGCTCTGCTGCGCGCGCGCGCCGCAGGTGGCTGCGCTCCTGAGTCCTGGGTGCTGGACGCGCGCCCCCTAGCGGTCTGTGCCTGCAAATGGCTCGCGGCCCGCTAGACCTGGCTCCAGGTTGCGCATGCGCACACTGCTAACACTTGCGCTCTGTCAATCAAGTCTTCCTTACCCCCTCCCACTTCTCTCCCTCCTCCCCTTTTCAGTTCTTTCATTTCTACCCCTCCCATTTCTCCTCTTCCTCCTCCCCTCTGCTTTTCCTCCTCCCTCTTTTCCCCTCCCCTTCCTGTCTCCCCTTCCCTCCTCCCTCCTCCCCCCTCCCCCCTCCTCCCCCTCCCTTTCCTCCTCCTTCGATTTCCCTCCCTCTTCCCTCCTAACTCCTCCCTCCTCCTCCCCCTCTTTCCCACTGCTCCCTCCCTTTCCGACTCTGACTGCCCCCTCCCTCTCCCTCTGACTGCCCCCTCCCTCTCTCTGCTGTTCCTGTGCTGACCGTTAGAGGTCATCAAGATGGTTTCTAATCCGGCCCCCTTCCCGTGCCTTAGGGTCTCTTCAGGGATGACATCACCTGTTCACCTCCTTGTCTTCAAGGACCACCTCCCGATGCCACGCTGCTGCCAAGGTGCTCGCTGATCACCTCCCCCTGATGGTACCTTGGCCCCTCTTTGAGGACCTGTATAACTCAACCTGCCGGGCAGAATCCCCACCCCTGCCGCCCTCCCTGCACACCCCCAGACCCATTAGCAATTAAAAGACCATTTTAAATTTTAACTGATTAGTTTTAGTTATAATTCATTTAAATTTAATTACTACGTAGACTTGGGCTTTTAAGTGGGGCCTCTAACCTTTGATCAATTGCAGAGGCCACTAGGAGCTCCGACCCCTGGATGGCACCAGCATACAAAGCAGCCACTGGCAGAGACCACCCCCCCACGCCCACACCACCAGGACGAGGATGACTGAGGATGAAGAGGACCAGAACCGACCAGCCAGCTCTTCCCTCTTGGCCGAATGTTTAAGCCAATGCCCTAGTGAGGGGGCATTGGTCATTAACCTCTGACCTTTGCTATGCTTATGCCTTGATGCTATGAATACTTTTGTATAAGTCTCTACTTGTGTTCACTTGCCAGCCACCTGGAGTGTTTCCCTCCCCAAGGAGTTGTCAGTCTTTCTCCGATGACAACCCCCTTGTTGCCTGTATGATGTACTGAACGGAAGGATCCCTTTGGGAACTTCTCAGGAGGGGGACCTGGGCCAAGGGCTCGACCAGCATCTCACTGGCAATTCCAAGGCCCGGGGTGGGCTTCTGGAATGAGCATGTGCCCTGACGCCTGGCTACCGAACTGCCAAGGGCCTCCCCACCTCTCCCCACCTCTTCTCAGATCTCCCTGTTCTTTCTGGGGAATGGGGACAAGAAGAGCAGCCTCCCAGGGTTGTTGTGAGTATTGAATGATATAAAACCACCTCAGGCAGGGCTGGGCATAGAGGAGGTGGTCAGCAAATGTCTGTTGAAAAAGTTTGGTAGGTCGGTCCCTTCCCACCCCTGTCACTCTCGTCTCATACTTCTCATTTATTCTCCCACAGCGCTCCAGGCAGCCCCTGTCCGCAGGGCTCTCCTTGAAGCAGGTAGGGGTCCACCGAGATGGGCGTTGGGCAGACCTGAGTACGAACATGAACTTCACATGTGGTCATTTCCAGAGCACTTTCTATGTTCTATGAGTGTCTTATTTCCATGTTGTACACACATATGAATGAAGCAGCATTTACAGATGAGAATGGGTTTGACATTGATTGAAGGGATTTTAAAAGAGTCAGGGTGAGGGGTTGGGGGCAGGGTGGGGGAAGAAGAGGACTTAGGAGAAGCAAGTGCCCCCTCCCACAGCACAGGACACGCTCACATTCACAGCAGGGACACTGAGGTTGGAGGAGTGTAAGTGTTTTGTCACATTGTTGGCAAGAGAAGGGGTCAGAGTTGGACCCTGGGTGCCCTTGTGGCCGCCCCTTACCTCCCCTGGGCCCAGAGTTGTACTAAGAGCCTTTTGATTTCCAATCAGGCATTTGACAGTGGGATAGCCTCTTAGAAATCCCAGCTGTCAAGCATGGTCTGGGGAGGGTGGGGGGTGGAGGGCATCTGGGTGGCCCTGTGCTGGTGCCATGTGCTGGTTCCACCTCTCAATGACTGGTGTGACCTTAAACAAGTCACTTAACTTCTCCAAGCCCCAGTCCCTTTCATGGGTTAAATGGGGATTTAAAAAAAAAAAAAAAAAAAAAAAAAAAAGCACCCGCATTTATCTACCCCACAGGGCGCTTTTGAAGACCAAATGATGTAACCACCGTGAAAGTGCTTTGTAAATCGCTGTGGAAATTGCTAGATACTTAACTCCCAGCGTTAGTGCCTCGTGGTGCACATGCCCAACCCCATTCTCCCTCAGTAATAACGGCACCCAGTAGGTGCTGCATGTGTTTGCGCTCAATAAATAAATTCCAGAGTAAATAAAAGCAGAATTAATTCAACAAACATTTTCTGGAACGCCGACAATATGCCCAGCACACCAGGCCTGGTATGTGATCCAAAGATGATGAAAACAAGTCTCCTGGAAGCTAATTGGGGTCTTCCTTCGACCCGCACTTTCTTTCGTCCCCTTTTAAGCCAACCAGTTTTGTCCGGACAAGACAAAAACAACTCGGGCGCTTTAGAGACGCCCGGCTCCATGGAGACAATAGCTCCCGGGCATCTAAAAGGGCCTGATTGGATTATGTGGCAAATAGAAGGTGGAAGGGTGACTTGGAAGGTGACAAATGAAGTGGGCGGAGAGCCGCTTTGAGTTAATCCAGGCTATTAGGAGGGAACCTTTTGTCTTCCAGGGGCTGCCGGGAGCTTTTACCACTGGTTTTTACATCCTTAATGTAAGGACGCATAATTTATGGTCAGTGAAAACCCAGGCCCCGTGAGGTTTGAGTGGGCCTAACGATTGCGCGTCCTGCTCCCAGTGAGTAATTAGAGCGAACATTACGGCCCCCTTTGCGGTCCGCAAAGGCCTTTTGATAATCATGATTCATTTGAACCTCACAACTCCCTGTCCCGACCCCGGGGCTGGCCTGCCACCTCCAAGGGGAACAGAGGTCATCAAGGTCTTCTTCCAGGTTGGGGTCCTACGGCACATTTGCACCCCTATCACCTCTTGGGTAGTGAAGGAAGAGAGGTGTCTACAGCGTTGGTCTCTCCTGTCTCAGGCCTACCTGTCCCTCCTGGCACTCACTAGTTCTTTCCTCTCAATTCCTAATTTTGCTCTCTCCACAGCCGGGAGCCTCCCAGGCCCCCTCACTGTCCCCCCTTTCCAGCCACTACAGCCTGTCTCTTTCCTTTTCGCAGCCAAGCTTCTCGAAAGGCCTGTCTACACTTGCTGTCTTCCTTCCTCACCTCCAATTTCCTCTTCAACCCACTGCTTCCTGACTTGTTCTGCTCCGTCGAACGACCCTACCTCAGGTAATGACTTTTCTGTCACTTGACTCTGGACACGTTTCCAGCTCATGGACACATGGACACATTTTCATTTCTTGGCCTTCATGTGGCTTTCGGCTCTGGTTCCCTCCTGTTGGCCTATACTCCTCACAGAACCAGCAGCTCCTGGCTTCCCTCATTCTTCGCTTCTCCTAGGACCTGGGGTATCCACAGCTCTCCTGTCTGGGAGCCTGCCTCTTACCGTCTTGCAGGGTTCAAGGCCTTGCTGAACCGCCTCGTGTTGAGGCCTAGGGGTTAGTCAGTTCTTCCAAGCCACTTTTTTCTCAGTTCTGGAATAGAGTTACTACTCTTGACCTGGCAGGTCAGGTGGATGTGTCACAGGGAAGAACCAGACACTAGTCGAGGGACTTGAAATAAGGTCAATAAAATGTTCGTGAGAAAATTGGAGTCCCCGTCCGCTTTTCTGACAGGTTAAGTTCCCACGGGGAGAACCAGAGAGAGAAGAAAGACGTGGGGGGCGGGGGTGAGATGGGGGAAGCGTAGCAAAGAAAAAAAAAGTAAGAAAAGACACTAGTGGCCCCCAAAAGTGGGGAAGGGAGCCTTAGAAAAAATACTGAACTCTACCAAAAACCCATCCAGTGAAAGGTTTCCTCTCGGGTCGGGTCTGGCTCAAAGAAAGTAAACAGGAAAAAGGCTTTAAATTGATTATCCCAGTGACAAATCCCAGGAAGCTTTCAAGTCAAATTGCCCCATTTTGGGTTTTTAACTCCTTCTATCAAGTTGAACCTCTTTAGGTCCCGCATCCTGGCTAAGCCCTCCCCCAGCCCCCCCTCGCTGGTGATTAAGTCCCGAAGGTACGCGACGCCTTTCAGGGATGAATGGCCCACAGAAAGCGCCCTCCCTGTCCCCCCCAGCGGTGGTTTTCTGTTTTATTCCACTTTCCGCCCTTTCCCCTTAATGAACGCAGGGCTAATCTTGGGCCTTGTCAAGGAAGAGGCCGCGGACTTAATGAGGTAGCTGCTGGATTCCAATATTCGTCTCATAAGGAGCCCTTCTTTGTCTGGGGAGGAAAAACACACTGATTATCATAATGAGGTGAGCCGGCGTCCGCAGGCAGGGCCGACCGGGGCTGAGGCCACGCTTCTAATTCTGGTGCTGGAGCCCGGGTTTCATGTGCTCCTCATTTAAGGCTTTGCCTCTGTCCCAGTCAGGGGTCCTTTGAGCGGGGTTGAAAGTTGAAGGCTGCTTTGGGGAGCCCGCCGCAGATAGGACTGCTTTGCAGAAAGTTCCTTTGTTCGACCCTTACTACACACAGATGTCGCAGGGGTCCCAGCCCTCCGCGCCTCGTGGATTCATTGTCTGAGAAGCCCGGGAATGGAGGGGTACGTGTTTCCTGCTAGAGCACGGCCCTGGCTTGTTTCAGGGCTCACAGATCATTAAAGACTTCATAATCTACCTGTAGGACCCATGGAATTGTCCCGAGGTTGACACTGACCTGGAAAGCCCCATCCACATCAAGAAATACTGGTGCCCCTCCCACCCCCCAGCCCCTGCCCTTGGAGTAGTGAGGTTTGGGGTTCACCTTTGCCTCCCATGTACTGCTGCACGTGAACTTCAGAGGCCCGGGGATTTGTCAGGATCACTCGGAGTCAAGTGCACAGAGGGGACATTACAACTCAGATCTGGCAGCAGAACCCACAGCCCCTGCTTTTACCCGCTTCATACCGCCCTACTCCATATGTCCTGTGCCCCAGTGGAAGGACCCCCACCAAGCTTCTGTCCTGATCTTTGAACTCCCCAGAGCCCATCGATATCTTTAGAGCAGGTATTCCCACCCCCTAAGTCTGAACACTGCCCCTCTGTGTCCCAAGTTCTGGGCTTTTCTCACCCCAAGACCGATCAAGATCAGATCACTCCCAGTTAAGCATCAGACTGTAGCCAGACCTTCAGCCAGATGGAGAACTAAAGGAGAAGGGAGGTGATGGGAGCGAGGGGAGGAGGCTCACGGTTCTCTGTTGGCTAAAGGTTCTCTGGCATCACCGCCCAGAATTCGTTTAAAAATCCGCAAACCCAACTTGGCGAGCACCTGAACCACGTCCGAGGCTGTCCTAGGGACCCAGAGGTTGCCTGGGTGAGGGGGCCGGGTGAGGCTGAGCACCTCTGAAAGTAGGGATCCTACCAAAACCTACTGGTCTCAACATCCCTCATTAAGTCAATCCTGGAGGCTCTGGACTTCTAGGAAGAGGTGGCTTCCCCAGGTGGAAAAGCAGAGAATGCCTGAGGCCAGGAGACGCCCCCCACCACCCCATCCTGAGTTTCTGTTTTTCTCCTTTTCCTGCCCACCTCTGGTGTCCACCACCTTCTTCCTCCTTCCAACACCCATTTCCTGATTCGGTCCTCTGGGGGTGCCCTAGGCCAGCCCATTGCTTCCTCTGGGTGCCCCAGCCTCAGCTTGGCACTAAGTGGGGTTCAGTAAGAGTATGTGGGCTGTCTGTTTGGACAGGTGAGTCAGTGAAGGAACCGCCGTACTCCAGACGCTAGACGGGAGTCTTTGGGAACCGAGGAGCATCAGGCAAACGGGAGGAGGCTGGAATTAGTTCCTCTGAGGGGAGCGTGGGCACTGCCCTGCCCCCAAGCCCCATTTGAGCCGGGCTTTGCTGGCCCTGCCCCTTCACTCACTCAGGCGTCCATCCCGTCATCCAACAGTTGATCCTTACTGAACGAGCCCATGGCCCGGCCCCGGCTCAGCCCCAGCGTCCCTTAGCGTGTCCCTTGATGGCCTCTGCCTCCCTGGGAGGGCTGGCCGGGGGGTTTCTTCTGCTGAGGGCGGCCTTGTGCCACCGCAGGCGCTGGAGCAGCAGCAGCCTCTGGCTCTGTGGAGAAGGCCGGCAGAGAGGCGTGGAGGGTAGGCCTGCCTTGGGCCACTTGGCCCCGGTGACCTTTCATTTAAGCCCTGGGGGACACTTGGAGGTGCCCATCTCCAGGGCTCTGCCCCCTCCTGCCCTCTCTGCCTCCCGGAGATCCCACCCCCCATCCCGTAGCTGAGTGCTGACAGCTGCCCTTGCCCCCCGCCCTACAGCTCAGGACGGACGCGGGGGCGCAGGAATTGCTGTGGGGTGTGTGTGCCCCTCGGGCTCCGGCCCCCCAGGTCTCCCTCTTGAGTCGGGGTCTGTGACCCGGACCTTTCTGTCCTGGGGCCAAATGCAGCCCCTGTGCACCAGGCGTTGGCTGGAAACCTCCAGGGAGCTCTGCAGGCTTGCCCTCTGCCCGGTTGCCTAACTGCTCTGCTCTGTCTTGGTGGCCACCTTGACCCTCTGCTTGCCACAGTGTGTCTGTCACCTGGCCCGACCCATCTGCCCCTTCTCTGCACTTGAATCACTGGGCTCCTGATCCTCTGGGCCTCCGCTGTCCAGCCCTCCGCCTAGCTGGTTGGTTTTCCTTGCTGAGCCCGCGCCTGTGGTTACCTGGTCTTGCCTGCTTCCTCGTCCGTCTCCTGCCTGCTTGCCTCTTGGCCTTCTCTAGGGTGTAAAGGCCCCTTCTCCAGCTTAAGGAGCCCCTTTCCCTGTGTGGCCAGAGAACCGGTCCCCAGGGCCCACGGGACAGGTCCCTGCCGCCATGCCACCTCCCGCAGCCATCCTCGGATGCTTCCTCCCGTGGGGGTGGGGGTTCAAAGTGACCGTGGCTGCAGCCAGACCTCTGTCCTGCCCCTCCCCATCCCCCAGGCCCCTCGTCTCGTCCCACTGGGTGTTAGCCCACAGCCTGTCCCTGGGAGGCCTGGGCTCTGCCGTGCCCCAGGCCTCACAGCCGGTATGGGGGCTACCAACTGGCCCATTGCTTCTTCACCTCTTCGTGTCCTTGCTCATCTCCACAAGCCACCTGCTTCCACCGAAAACCATGCGGCAGGTGAGACTTGGCTCGCTGCCTGTGTGTGTGTGCGTGTGTGTGTGTAGCTCCTCTGAAGTGCCAGCCTTGTCATAACCCTAATCTCCTGCATCTCCTGCAAGGTCAGCCCTGTCCCCGGCACATCGCCTGGGCTGGCGGAAGAACCCGATGGAAGAGGCCAGAACAGCCCCCAGAGGACAGCCGCCCTGCACCAGGGAGCCCGCCAAGCTGCCTGTCGCCAGTCCCGTGCCTCTCCACTTCCACCCACTTTGGGGTGAGTGTCTTGCTCTCTCGCGACACCAGAATTTCACTAGTTTCAGCTCACCCATCTCGATTCTAGAAGGTACACATTTAGCCTGGGGAGGGGGCTACTACCAAGAGCAAATCTGCTCCACCGACCCTGCGGCCTGGCGGGGGTCTGCAAGCTTCCTGGAGCCTCTGGGACCGTGGCCACATGGAGCCAGCTCACGTGGGGCCCACCCCGGGGCCGTGGCATGCTGTGGGCCGGGCACGGTAAGTGAGGGGTGTCCACAACTCTGACCACGGGCCCCCAAGAACCAGCTCGGGCCAGGCACACAGTAGGTCCCCAGTGCAGCGTGGCTAAGCATGGGAAGGAAATGAGGGACGGTACAGGTACCCTCTCTGGTCTCTGAGGCCTGGCCAGAGGGCCAGCATGGAGACGTGGAAACAGGAAAGCTTGTCTGTCTGTAGAAAACCTTTTTTCCCTGAAATCCAAAGCTATGTCAGTCCTCGTGAGCTCTTACACACCAGGCTTTGATAATGTCCTTTAATCACAGAGTTGTTTTTGAGTGAGTTCTTCTCTTGGCCCGTTTTCCTCACCCCTGAAATTGCAACGAGATGGGAATGTTTGTGTCTGTTTAAATAAGATCAGTAATGGTGGGGAAAAGAAAGCGGAGGGTTACAGCCGCGCGGCTCACGCCAGAACGAGTCGTTTGTTTATCTGGTTTTCCTTATTCCAGACGCATCGATGGAGCCGCTGGGGCTCAGGGCTAGGGCTCTGCTGGGGTGCCTGAGACCAGCTTTGTCTTAGGGACTAGAGGGTCTAGCAGGGTTCCCTGGGAGATCCCACGCAGCGACTTGGCCCACGTGGCCTCTGAGCAAGATGGGCAGGAAGAAAGGAAGCTCGGCGGAGGGCACTTTTCCTTTGTCGGATCCCAGGAACCGAGTCTCATGAAGGGGCCTGGGGGTGGGGGCTGTTGGCAGAGTCAGCAAAGCAGGGGGCCGCGCTAGCGAGGCTGACTCCGTCCGTGTCTGCTGTATCTCCCGCCTCATGCTCCTGGGGTAGCCCCTAGGCTGATAGATGAAGCCAGTCAGACTCCTGGGGTGGTCCAGGTGGGAGATGGGGAATGGCCTGGTGAGGCTAAGTCGAGCCCACAGATATTTCCGGAGCCTCGGGTGGGTCCCCCAGTGTCCCTGGGCCAGATGCCAGTGTCCCCCTTCGTCCCAGGGGTCCCCAGGGTCTGTGAGAGGGCCGGCGATGAGCAGAGCGGGGAGGGGGGCCTCCTCCAGGTGCCGCAGATCCCCAGGGTCTCTCACGCAGATTCCGTAATGCCCTCTCATCGCATGGAGGTTTCAGAGATAGGTCTGCCCTGCCCTTCTCCCCTGAAAGGGAAATGGGTTGCGGATATTACTTTTCCACAGACCCCGTCAGTGTAGGCTAGGAGGGGTGGAGGCCTCCGAGCCCAGGGACCGTTGTCTTTGCTTGATTTTGTTCCCTAGAGAGCCAGTTGGGCTGCCTAGAGGCGGGGAGTGTGTGCCCAGGGCTGAATCCAAGGAGGGGCACCAGGAAGGCTCTGCCCTGTGATATTTACTGCATAGTTGGCATTTGCTGAGCCGTTAGCAAGCAGGGTGACGTGGCAGAGAGAGAGGCCTGGGAGGGAAGCTTTACACAGGGCAGGATGCAGGTCGGGGGGCGGGGGCCTGGGGGGGTCGAGTTGGGTGTCGTATCTGGAGCTTCCCAGACAGATCCACAGAGCTAGTTTGAGCCAAGTGCCCATGGTTTCTGGATTCTTCTGGAGGGACATCTTAGCAGGCCCTCCAGGTGGGCTGAGCTGAGGGGCGGAGTCACGGCTTAGGCAGGTGTCCAGCCCACCCCCAGCCTTTGCCAGCCCTGCCCCTCAACGTCCCCAGCAGGGTGGGATGGTGTCTCTTTGGGCCTGGCTGTGTCTCAGGTACACTCGTGAACGTTCCGTCTCAGGCAAATATACATTTTTGTGTGTGTCACATGTTACTTTGCATTTTGCATGTCGTTAAGCAGAAAATAAAGACTAGATCAAGTATTCTTCTCAATTAAAGGAGTTAAAACAGAACATCATCAATAATCAGCCTCACGGCAGAACATTCCAGGCGTTATTAAGTGTTGAAAGAAATGATCATTTTTGGGAAAGTTCTTTTTGTAGAGGGATTGGCCCACCCTTGAGTAGTCGGGTATCGGTTGGAGTCCCAGACAGGCTAGACAGAGGGCAGAGGGCCCTGTCAGTGTGGCGGGAGGGGGTCTCTCTGTCCTGCCTCTAAGTGGATGCTCCGAGGAGGGCACAGATGCGTGGAGGAGATGGTGGTCTTGTCTGGAAGCTGGTGGTCCCATCCCACTGGCGTCCCCCTGAGTGGGTGGGAAACGGAGCCTAGAACAGAGCTCAGCCTCTGTACTCGTGGAAGGACACAGAGTGCCCCCTCGGCCCTGCGTCTTCCCACCTGCAGGTTGCTTGTGGGGGGGCTCCCTGCAGCTTTTGGGGCCCCCGACCTCATGCCTCCTGACTTGTGATTCAAACCCCAAATGCATTTCCAAGCACATTTCTCCAAATAATGTCAAAACCTGGCAAGACTTAACGGGCAACGGGGTGCATGTGTTTCTTATTCGTTTACATGAAGTAACTTCAATGTGTTTTTTATGAGCAATCTGACTTCCAGAAAGAGAAAAAAAATCGACCCATCTATAATGAGCTTGCTAATGAATTTTTCCTTGAAAAGAAGGAGGCGGCTTTCGACAGAAGGGGGTGTGGAGAGAGACAAATTAAGGTTCCAAAGGGTTAAAGGGCAGTGGGTGATGGCGAGACTAGCATTGTCAGCTGAATTGAGAAAGGCCTGCGGTCCTGGGGCAGCTTCTTTTTAGAAAACCCATGTTTAACACAGTGTGAGTCCATCCCGGGAGGGAGCAGTCCCCTTCCCTCCACGACTTTAACCCCTGTCCTCTCTCCTATAGGAGAGAACAAGGAAGCATCGCCTGGTCTCCCATCTAGGGTGTGAGCAGATGGAAAATTCCGGAAAAGAGTTGTATCTTTCCAAACGAGGCCATCTTCCCGTTTTGAAAGGGAGACACGAGTATGGGCAGGGAAGGAGGGACAGCTCTCTCTATAGGGCCTGGTTCCCAGGGGAACCAGCCCTGCGTCCTGAGTGGCTTGAGAAGCCGGGCCCTTTAGGGAAGTCTGAGGGACCAGGTGTTGCAGGGGCATGTGAAATGAGTCTGTGTTTCAGAGCTAGGAAAGAGTTCAGAGAGCCCTTGGGGACTCTGTTGGGAGATCTGCCCCCAGAGGTGTCCCCCACCAACCGCCCTGGTCCCGGCGCCCTGCACCCTAGCAGGACAGAGCAGCACCAGCGAGAGGGGTCCCAAGTTCAGTTGGACCAAGCGGAAGCAGGTGCGGAGTGGTGGGGGACTCCCCAACTGTGCCAGGGTGAGAGACCCATCTTTGAGGAGCCCATACATTCTGGAATTTCTAGCGCCTTCTTCAGACACTTGTCCCATAGTCCCATATCCCAGTCTTCACTGAAAAACAGTGGAAACCACGGCTCTAGCCATGGTTTTGGGAACTGACTGATGAGAAAGCCTGCAGAAAGATCTCTGTCTTCTCAGCTGCCCCCTCCCCCGAGGCCCGGGCTCACGAGGGTCTGGGGCTGGAGCAGGTGCAGAGGAGCTGAGGCTGGGGTCGGCGCCCCCCTCCCCCTTTGGGGATGCGGGTGGGAGAGGGGAATTAATCAGGGGAGAGGAGGCTGGGGCGGGGTGTAGCCCCGGGTCTCTTAATTGCTCTCCAATTTCTTTGGGCTTAAAAACAATCCAGATGGAGAGTTCTTAAGTCCTCCCAGCCTGGGGGTCGGGGGAGAGGAAGGCTGCCCACCACCTTTGCCTCCTTCTCCAGCAGTGAATAGGGCCTCTGGCAGGGGCTTAAGGAGGAAACTCTTAGCCTGGGAGCTCCCAGGGCCGTTTGAGGCGGAACAAAGGCGCAGGCAGAAAGGAATGTGGGGGCGCCCCCCGTGGAGAACAGCCACCTGGGGATAATCGAGGGCTGAGTGCACAGGAGTTTTCCCAGGTCCTGTGAATACATTCTTTCAATAGAAGGTGCCTTTTCTTCAGATGAAAAGGAGAAAAGCTCAGTCACCTTCCCTGTACTGGAGAGTGTGTGTGTGTGTGTGTGTGTGTGTGTGTGTGTTCCTTCTGGGGCCATGGTGGCCCCTTCCTTGTGTGTGTGTGTGTGTGTGTGTGTTTTGGGGGCTGCGCCACGCAGACGAGAGGCCGCACAATGACACGGTTAGCCAGTCACCCCGCCAGCGTGACCCTGGACATGCTCCTGCTCCCCAGGTCTAGGGCTTCTCTGCACGTGTCTCAGGATGCAGACTGCTTGTGCCTTTGCCCCTAAACCAGAACTGGATCAAACCGGGCCTGATGCCCTAGAGAACACCAGACCAGCAGATGGGGCTGGGGACACAGGACTCCAGGGTGGGAAGGAGGGGACCTGGAGGAGGGTCCGAGGGGCTGAAGGCTGACCGTGTGTCTATACCAGCTGGTCAGGCTGCTTGCTCCTTCTTCCCTCCCCCTGCCCCCCGCCTTCTCCCCATTCTCCGGGCCCACCTGATGCTGGAGGCAGTCATGAATTGGGGGCCAGTGTCCACACTTAGGATGATGGGGCTCAGCATGGCTCACAGGCCCAGGGGCAGCATTGAGCAAGGGGACCCAGCCAGATGGAGGGCAGAGTTTGCGCCAGCATGACCCCTGACTGTCCTGAGGGCTCTCTGGCCCCTCTGGGGTGACTGGGGTAGAAATCCCAGCCATGAGAGGAAAGGAGTCCCCGTCTCAGTCTTGGTCGGAGCCTCTTGCTGCTGGCTTCTGGGCCTCAGTTTCCCCATCTGTAGAATGGGGCAGTCAGCTCTGTGTATTCTCTAAGGCAGAAGGAACATGGGATGTCAGTCTGGGAAAGGCAAGGGCCCTGTTTCAACAGAGGGGGTGGTAGGTGGAAGGTGTGCCCAGAGAGGGCCCCCACTTGCCTCTTGACTGGAGGAAGGGCACACCCCCACTACCCGCGACGTGTTCAGTGGAGAAGGTTCTGAATGAGTGTTCTGGACACGGTCTTTTGGTGACCTGGTTCCAGCCCGTGCTCAGCCCCAACTTTGGGTGTGACTTTGGATCCTGTCTCTAGCCTTCTGGCCTCAGTTTTCCCATCTGTAACATGGGGCAATGCAGGATCGCCATCAGCCGAGGCCCCTGAAGCTCTAGGATCCTTTCAGGTGCCTCATTGGTCCTCTGTGGTTGGTTGGTTGGTTGGTTTGCAAGTCAGGAGATCAGAGCTCGCTGGTGCCCTGCTGTCCCACCCCCTCTGCTTTAGAGAGGACACAGAGAGTAGAGAGGGCCGGTGCCCTGTCTCGGATAGCAGGCCCTGGGTGTGAAACCCACTGCTGGTAGCAACCAGCTTGACTAGCATAGTCATGGGTCAATCCCCACGGTCAGCTTTTCGTGGACAGGATCACCACAGCGCTCACGCCCCAAGCTAGCTCCCAGGGGCTTGCCGACATACTCTGGGGCCAGGATGGCATTTTATGGAGCATTTTTTTCCACACGGGTGGGCCGCTGGCCAGGCCTGGAAAACTTCCCTGGGCTGTGGAGTGGTCAGTGTGCAACGAGACGGGCCCCGTGGCGGCAGTCCCAGGAGGATGCGGCTGGCCGTGCCAGCCCCTAGGGCTCACCCCGTGCCCTTTGGTCATGAGACGCTGGGCAACACCTCTTGCCGGTGCCTCCGCCCGCTCAGCTGAGAACTGAAAAAGCCATCAGGGTGGCAACTTCTGGAATAGTGTTCAGTAACCAGGCCTGTGCCAGCTGCCTGTCCCTGACCCAACTTAGAAGCTGCCTCTAGGTAGCCCTTTGTGCTTCGCCTGTGCTTGGTAAATAAATCCCCGGAGCCCTGGGCCGCTGCCGCGCCTGGTTATTGCCACTGTGGGCTGCGGCCTTTGTTTCGTGACCTTGGTTGCTAATATAATACCTGGGAGTAGAAATGAGGAATCGAGAAATCGCTAGCCTCAATTAGACGAGCGGCCGCCTTTCCTGAGGCTGCCTCCACCACTCCAGCCATAAACCGTAAACATACACCAAATAGGCCCTAATTCTCTCTAATTGCCCACTCCTGTAGCAGAGAGCGGGTTCCAGGAACAGGCATATGTAAACATCCTCCGTGGTCCGGCCAAGGGAAATTAGAGGGCTGACGGGGGCCGGCGAGAGAGGGGACGTGATTTCAAAAGATGTCCCAATTACCGCTCCCATTTTCATAAATGGGTCCATAATGTCCAGGGCCCGGTCTTCACAAAGGTACAGGAAATTAGTTTTGCGAAGAGCCTGTGTCTGTAAGGGAAGTTGTGGGAGGGCGGTCTTCACTCAACAGGTGGGAAGCCTGAGATCTGAGGCGAGGCTGATTATTTGTATAAACTACGGGCTCTAGTTCTGGAAATCACCGTTTGATTGAAAATAATCCTTTTGTGTCTCTCCCTGCTCTAAACATCCATAAGTTCTTTGTATCAAAGGCATGCCATGCCAGACCCGTTAGGTCCTGTTGGCCGCTGGAAAAGGGCCGCTGGCCTCTTTTAAAATCTTGAGGTGAAGAGTTAGATTTTTCTTTTCTTTTTTAAAAAATATTTAATTTATTTATTTGAGAGTGAGGAAACACAAGCAGGGAGGAGGGGCGGAGGGAGAAGTAGGCTTCCCGCCGAGCAGGGAGCCCGATGCCGGGTTTGATCCCAGGGCCCCAGGATCATGACCAGAGCCGAAGGCAGATGCTGAACCGTCTGAGCCCTGCAGGCGCCCCTGGAGCTAGACTTGGCTAATCCCGGGAAGCCACTGGGATATTTCTGGGATGTCCACCAGGGCTTCCTGGATCAGGAGCTCAGGGCAGGCATTTAGGAGATGAGATCAAATGCTGGTGGCCGTGGTGTCTCTGGACCCCATAAGGAAGCCCTGTGTCTTCCTTGGGCTCCAGACAGTGACTCATCCCTGTGGCTTCCCCGCCACATCTGTTACCCTTCCAGCCCCACGCTCTGTTATCTTCGATCCCGGCAGACCCAGGGCTGTGCTGCATGCAGCTTTGAACCCAGGGTCTGACTTGGCCAGCGCCATGTCTTTGCAGGCAGCCTGGGTCTGCCTCAAAGTTAATCCAGGACTGTCAGGCGCTCCAGGGGTTGGGGGCGGGGAGGGGGGCACTCATGGAGCCCCGGGGGCAGAAGCAGGAGAAAAAACACAGATGCCCCAAGCGACCTGATTTCCTTGGTCCTATTAAACACACCAAAGTACTCCTCCCCCCACCCCCACTCCTACCCCTTGTTCCCACGGGAATTGGCAGTGCTGGGGGAGAGGAGGGTCTGGCTGTGTGTTCAGACACTGGAGTCCAGACACTGGAGTCCCAGTGTCACCTTGGGACTGTGATCACGAGCAGAGGGCCACCCCAGGTGCTCACAGGCTCCCAGGGAGGGCTGGAAACGAGCTAAGGTGGTCTCCAGCTCCAGATGGAGCTGGTGTATCACCAGAGACTGTCTTTGGCCGTCCACCAGCTTATGACTCTTCAGTTAACATTTATTTATTTTTTTAGTGACTTTTGTTTTTTTGGTTATAAAATCAACCGATTAGGAAAAAACAGGGTTTTGGAAGCTCGAGGCCAGGGAAGGAATTTTTATGAGGATTTAGAAGCAAGAGGCGTACCCTGCAGTGTCCCGGCCAAGTCTTGGGGAGGTGTAGACAGTGGAGGGCACCCCACAGGGCTTACGTCAGGGCAGGGGGAGCTGCACAGGGCTGCCTCCCTACCTTGGAGCTCCCTGCCTGTGCGCTCTCTGGCCCCGACCTCTGGCTGTGCCCTCACCCAACTCACAGAGCTGTAGAGACCTCATCGGGCCGACTGCCCTCCCGCCGCAGCTACTCACCCTCCCTAGACTCCACGGCACGTGTGTTTAAAGTCAACTCACTTAGAAAAATCTGTTTTGTTTTGTTTTGTTTTAACAAATAGATTTTTTTTTTCTTCCTGAGCAGCCTCGGGTTTATAGAAAAAGTGAATGGCCAGGTACAGAGCATTCCTATACCTGTCCCCGTCCCCGAGTTTTCCTGTCACTAACAGCTGTAACAGCTGGCGTTGTGTGGCACATGATTAGCTGGTTGGCCAGTCGTTGATAACGTTGCTGTGGACTGAAGTCCAGCACTTATGCCATTCTTTGGGTTTCCTCTTTCCTCTTGTACCATTGGTGTGTTTTGACAGATCTGTAGTAACTTCTGTTACTGAACTCAATTTTTTTTTTTTTTTAACTTTAAGGCAAATGCTTGAAACATAAGGTTTGATGTGCCTGGACACAGCCTGTCACGGTGCTGATTGAAAGGTGCACGTAATCATTAAAGAGGAGGCATCTCTCCAGGCACCACGGTCTTCTGTCCCCTGACTGTGTGCCACAGTTTTAGGACACACTGTCCATTCAAGACTCCACAGTCTGTGATCCCCAGCCTGCCGCTCTAGTCCTACCCACGTTCACGCCCTGCCCTGTCGACTTCGGCCCGAGGACACGCTGTGTCTCAGCGCTGCTCTTCCTCCGTGGTGGGATGCCCTTCCAGGGAGTCTGCTCCGCACCCTTTTGGTGTTCAGATCAGCTGTCATTCACGTTCAAAGTCTTTGGCACTTAGTTCCATGCGTCGCACTAAGCCAAGGGCTCTTGGGTTAGGAGTTGCGTGCCTGTCTCTGGGCTTGCGCCCATCCACTCTGCCCGCCGCTGAGGCTGGGGTGGGGAGCTTGGCAGGTGAGTGAGCACGCGAGCATGTACGGAAAAGAGAAATGCTTGACTTCACCAATTCCACGCTTGCTGGGGAGTTGGGGAGTCCCTGCTTTAGTTGGGTGAGTTTCCACCCAGTGACCCTGCGCTCTCTCATTCCAGCTGAAGACGCCATCCGGAATCGTCCACGGAAGGAGAGACCTTGACACGCCACCCAGCACCCTCCGGTGTTCAAATCGTAAGTTGCTGGGGTGTGGGGGACACATCTGTGGGCTCGTCACTGAGGGTGGGGGGCTGCTGCCCAGAGCACATGGCCAGGTGAGGCCTGGGTTGGGGGGGGCCTGGTGAGCGCTGGCCAAGGGGGCGCTCACGGGGAGGTGGGTGCCCAGTGAGGCAAACTGATTGCAGACCTTTGGGGGGGGGCTTGTGTTGTAAGGCAGGACCCCCAGCCTCCTTGTGTTGTCTCTGTGGCAAAAGAATTCTATAGGCGGCTTCGAGTGCCGGACCCCCAAAGAATTCCTTCTCTCTAGCTCCTCTCCATGAATGGCCCTTTCATTATTGAGTGTCCCTTTGGCTCTTGTGCCCCAGGGCAGACTAGGATGGAAGTGCCCTTGTGAGCTGGGGGGCCCTTCAAAGGGCCAAGGAAAAAACGCGGGCCGAGGGACCAGCCTCTCAAACGGGCTTCCAGCTCCAATGACCTTCGCTCACCCCCTTGAAATGTCTGGAAAACAGAATGGGCAGATTTTCTGTCTTCAAAGTTTCCGGCTAAACCTCTTCAAGTTCTTTATTGTTTGGGACTGAGACACTCAGCAATGGTAATGGGTAGTTTCTTTTGTATTTGCCTTGAAAGGCCAAAATATTTTCATATTGCTACAGACAAAGCCGTCTGTTTAGAAAAGAACGCCATGTCTGTCGCTTCCCACCGGGGAGACTGTGTACGACGTGTGTGTGTGTGTCTCTGTGTACTCTGGGGTCTTGAAACAGGTTTCTCATGGGGATGGCCATTCACCGGGGTCCAGGGGGATGCGTCTGCCCTGCCGAGGGGATCTGGGGAAGCCGGCCCTAATTCTATATCTGTCCCCGTTGGTCTAGGACGTGAGCCCGGGGGGCGGCGGGTGGTGGGGGCGGGCCGGCTGCACTAACCTTGACTCTGCCTGTCCCTGCGTCTGCCATGTGTATGTGTTAGGGACTGTGGCTTGTGCCTTGGTGGTCAGCTTGGTGGGAGCAAGCAGGAGGGTCTAAGATACGGTGGGTGTTCTGTTTCTCCTACTGGGAGGGCATTTCACGGGTATCTGTTACCTGATCCAAATAAGGGCCCGTGGCTGGATGAGTGAAAGCAGGAAGGAGTGGATGAACACATAACTAGGTAAAGGAGGGAGCAGGCCGGGACGAGAGTGCCATGACCGAGATCCCGTTCGATGCGAAGGCCGTCGATCTCTAAATCAGTAAAGTGTTCAGTCAGTGTGTAAAGAGAGCCACTCACGAGCCGACACCCAGTCACCATAGACCCAGACATAGGTGTGATGCAAATAGACAGTCCCTGAAGTTTACCAGTAAAAGAATAAAATGAAATAGGAGAGCCAAGGACCCGAGGTGGAAACGCAGAAGCCAGTAGCCACAGGGCCGTGTCGTGTGCTTACACACCCTCTAGGAGGCTAGATCTTCTGTGAAGTGTTCTGATCATGAATGATGGTGATGATAACGATCCTTCCAGGCGGGAGGAAGCTTCTGGAGGTGATGGGTAGGTTTAGAACAAGGATCTCAATGACAGGTTCATGGTGCACACTTCCCTCCAGTCTCATTGGGGTTCTGTACATGGCTTTTTGTGTGTCAAAGCACAATTAAAATGAAAAAGCCTAAGGAGAAGGTCACTGAAAGGATTGCCCAAGCCCTGGTGAGAACGAGAGGGTGAGTCCCATGAAAATGAAACAGGTACGAGAGGGGGTGTGATGGAGCAGGCAATTGGTGGGGGGAGAGCATGGCAAAAAGTAAATAGTAAATGAAAGGAAGAACTAGTATTTTCTTAAATTAGGGCATGCACAAGTATATAAGGAGGAGTACATCAGGTGATCGCAGACCAGGCGTTACAACGAGTCCGCAGGTGGGCTCCTGGCATAGACAAATAAATTAGCAGCCAAGAGTTTGAAGGATAGGTAAAAAAAAAAAAAAAAAAAAAATATATATATATATATATATATATATATATATATATCTATACACACACATATATATTTTATTTATATATATATAAATATGTATATATATATATTAAGAGGCGGGGAGAACCCAGGACACCAAAGAAGTGAGTTAACTTTTACCAGAAGTTTTCTAACTCCAGGCACATGTAAATGAATAAATACCAAATGAAAGAAAGCCAAGAAGAGAGAGTGACTGGTGGAAACTCCTAGACCCGGATGGGAGCGTGGTGGCAGGGGCTTGTGGTGTCCCTCAGTCCTGGGAGCTGAATCTGTCCCATGAAAGGATACAAGGGAGAATAAAGTAAAATATCCAAATAAAAATCAAGAAGCATGGAAGGAAAAGGAGCAGGTCCAGAAGTCCAGGAACGGGTGTACACTCATGCGGGTAGACGGCGGTGGAACTCAGGGTGCAGGGCTGTCACGCAGCAGAAGTTAGAGTGAGTCCAGTTCCACAAGCCAGGGTGCTGTCCATCAAGTAAGACGTCTGTAAATCAACAAGTAACTCAGGACCCAGAGAAACCCGAGGGGGCAGAGTGAAGGGGAGCCGGGAACGGCAACAGGGTTGTCATTCATCTCATTGGGGCCCTGAAGCCCCTGGAGAAGGAAGGCAGGCAAGTGGAGGGGAGAAGCAAAGCTGGCATTGGAGGGAAGGACAGCTCTCAGGGTGGCTGGCAACCAAACAGAGAGATGGGGGCCAGGGCGGAGAGATGGGGGCCAGGACAGACATCCGTGGGAGGGGGTGGGCTCGAACCATGGACGGTCATAGGTCAGTCTGAGCACTTACATCCATTAGTAGTGGAACAAGTAGCTGATAAAGAAAAAGAAAACAGGAAGGGAGAATGGTTGGAAGGAAGGAGAGAAGGAAGGAAGGAACCACGGAGCCACAGAGGTTGGGGATGGCCATTTGCAGGAGGCATTAGGATTCAGGGGTCTGCGCGACTGAGTGTCAGAGATCAAAAGATCGCAAGAAAGGAGCGAGGCAGAGAGAAGCATGAGAATGGGCTGGGGGTGGGGTGGACGGTGGGCAGTAGATGAGCGGGTACGCAGTTATGTGTAGACACACCTAACTCTAGGGGCAAAAGAGTAGTGACTTCATTAGGGAGAAGGCCTGGATGGATACGGGAGCGCTCCAGGGAAGGAGTAGAAGAGAAAAAAGGTTTATGATACCCAGTGAGGAAGGTGTCTGATTTCCAGCTGAGTGAAAGGCAGTGAGAACGATTAAAAGAGTGGGAGGAAAACAAAACAAAACAATCAAGAAGGGGAAAAAGTTAAAATAAAAAAAAAACAACTATAAAAAGTAATAAATCAATAGGTCAAACAATGAGGTCTAGGAGAGGGAACTGGCTTAGCACCGATCATCCACATTCATTCAGACCTGGGGTCCCAGAGTTTATAAATGATAAAAACGTGACCATCAGTAAAGAGACCGACCCACGACCCACGAGAGACAGAGCCCACACCAGAGTAAGAACACAAGCAGGCGGCCCGAGCCCGGAGTTACGACTGATGCGAAACTGGGCTCTGGAGATGGGGAAGTAAATCCTGACCCGAACCACCAGTGGGAGGAATGAATGAACAAAAGGAAGCCTCACGTCCACGGGCGCTGCGAAGGCTCCGGGAGTCACAGATTATGGCTAATCCAATTCTGTGCACCTGAGGTCCATAAATAAAAGAATAAATATTGAAATAAAAGGGTGACAGAAAGAATGAATGGGCCCAGGGATGACTGAATTAGAAATGGAGATGCGCGGGACTGCCAGGAGAGCACTGCCCTTGGGACTGTCACTCATCTGACTCTGGGCACCTGAGCCCCCCCGCCCCCCAAGAGCAAAAAGACCCAGGGACCCAGCCACAGAGGGGAAGAGAGAGGAGGAGAGCCGAGGCAGAGGGGAAGACCCCAGAGAAGGTCACGGCCGGTGTGTCCGAAAGAGCAGGCTCTGTTAGGATTAGCCATGAGCTTCTTGGTCCTAAAGGTCCATGAGATTGATCAGTCCCTGTTTCTAGAACAAGGGAAGTGGAGGGAGTGGAAAAAGAAGCAAAAGACCAAAAATGGAAGATAATAAACATGAAAACAACCACAGTGACAAATGGAGAGTTGGGAGAGCTTGTGTGACGAGGGATTATAATTAGTTTATAGACACTCTCCTTAAATAGATAAATGCATTACTCCTCTCAGAGCATAAATGAAAAATAAAGGAAATAGCTCGCCCGATGACAAGGCTGCGCCTTCTCTCACCTTAATGAAATAGATGCAATGGCGGCTCGGAAAGGAAAGAACAAATACCTAGGTGTAGTAGTTGGCTCAGGGCCAGGAAGAGAGTTTGCGGATGGGCATTGGGGCATGGTGCTTGGTGTGCACGGGGCAGGGGGCTCACAGGGGACCAGGAAGGGAAAGGAGGGCCCCGGATGGGGGAACTGGATTCGTCTTCCTGCGGGGAGGAGTGATAGAAAGTCAGGAAGGTGAGATTTAGGAAGAAATAAGAGAAAGGAATTGGGAAAAAAATGCGAGGTGAGCACCTAGCTAAGGGTTGTGAAGGGGGGTCTGCACACCCAAGGCTCTGTCTGCGGAGGACTACAGAGGAGGAGCTGGAAGGGGGGCGGGGAAGGAACAAGGAAGGAGGAAAGAGGAAGGAGGGAACAAGGGAGGAGGAAGGAAGGAAGGAAAGAGGAAGAAGGAAGGAAGGAAGAGAGGAACACAGAAGGAGGAAGCAGGGGAGGAAGGGGAGGAAGGCAGGGGTTTCTTGGGCCCTGAGTCCGGCTGGCGGAGCGAGAGGGTAGGGAGAGGGATGGCTCTTGGCATGTTGTGTGCTTGCTGCGCGCACTTGGCCTGGCCAGGAGGGGCCGGCTCAGGAGGGCCCGGCCGCAGAGTGCTGGGGCATGTCCTGGCCGCGAGGGCCAGTTCACCTCCTTCCTCCGACCCTCAGTGTCCCCATCTGTAACCTTGGAAGGGCCTCAGCTTCCCGCTCGGATGGATTGTGGGGGCAGACGCCGACCCGCCTCTGGGCAGTGCCCTGTCCGTAGCCCTGGGGAAGCGGCAGGC